TTAAAAAAAAAAAAAAAAAAAAAAAAGTGTCCATCAGTCTCTAATCTATGGGTATTTTTATTAAAAAAATTTTTTTTTTAACCGAATAACCAAATCCCTTTTTAGCATCTGTGGAAGGGGTCAAGATTTTTTCCCTTGGACTTACTAATATGATGAGTTATATTATTAAATTTTCTAATAATGAGCCAAGTTTAACATGTTTACAATGAGTCTGGTCTACATGAAGTCAGGAACATACACTCAGATCAGGGAAGAATTAATCATGCTATTGCTCCTGAATTCTGTCTTCTCTATTACAGTTACTATGGACTGACGGTCTGGTTCCCTGATATGATCCGCTATTTCCAAGATGAAGAATACAAGTCTAAGATGAAGGTATTTTTCGACGAGCACGTGTATGGTGCCACAATTAACTTCACCATGGAAAACCAGATTCACCAGCGTGGGAAACTTGTGAATGATAAGTAAGTGAGTGATCGTGGGCTTTCCTCCGAAAACGATGACAGTCCCGGGGACTGTTCTTGGGAGAGAGCCATTGGAAAAAGAAGAATTAAATAATAGCAAGGGAATGTGTTCCTAAGCTGTCGTCATCATCACAACTTATCATGGCTGCCAGAGACACAAAAATTCCCCTGATGGTGGTAGCTGTATTGTGCCGACTCTCTGTCAACCTAACCTCCAAGGATGGAGACATTTGACTGAGGACAGTTAATCTGGTCATCTTTCCCGAGAACTTGAACCTTGAATGGGTGTTAGCAGACAGCTACGTTCCCCTGATGGTGCCTGGCTAGAGGAAGGGTCCAGAGCTCTTCTGCTGAGGTCCCTGAACCAATCCATGACCTGAGTGTTGAGTTTTTTCTTTGATTCTGGAAGCTTCTCTGTGCCAGGGCTCATATGGTGTTACCTTTTGTTATTATTTCACTTTGGAAGGTTGAGCAGTGTGGTCCATGGTCAGCCAGGAGGCTGGTTGTTCTTTGGAGAAAAAAATCAGTGGGGTATAAGAGAAGCCCTGTTTGTGTATTTGTGGGGCTGCTTCCTCAAGCCATCCGACTCCTTTCTCATCCTGAGATGAATGAGGTAGACAGTGTCTTGCAGGCTGTCCTCTGAAAGCCTCTAAATGGGTCGGGGTGGGACAATAGCCAAGATCGCCACAGGCCACGTTGTTCTCTGAGCTGAACATTTTCACCCCTGCTGTTTCCCTTCTTCAAGGGAAAGCTCACTGGGGTGTGAAGGAACAGTAAGTGACCTTGGCTATGTGGTGGCATAGCCAATACCATGGCCCAGTTGGTTCAATGACAGTGACATTCACTGCCCTGTGTTTGCTACCTCAGTATGAAATCAACACCATGAATTCTTCCCTCCAGTGACTGCCCTGCCTCCCATATCTGCACCACCACTGTGTCTGGTGTCTCAGTAAAGTCCCTCCCTCCCTGTGGTGACTGTTAGCCACTTAGGGAAAGGAATGTGTGGCTTACTGAAGTCCAGGAAGGGGACCGCCTGCCGGGCTGTCCACATGGCTCTTTTAGGCCAGATTTTAGCAAAGGTTTACTGTTAATTAGGGTGAGAAAGTATGTGATAAGAAGGGAAAAATGATTTCCACACATAGGAGACCTTTGGAAAGGGAAGTTTAGGACTAAGTAGCACGGGGCATAGGGCTCAACTTTTCAGATAGTTTTTAACTAGGCTGAAGCTCATCTCAGCCATCTATATAGCCACCTGCTCATGCAGCCACACATCCTCTGGGCAGACCCGTTAGCAATATTGTCTTCTACTGAGAGTGGCCACTCCAGGGATGGCAGCTCCAGTGCTGCTGGTGGTGGAAGGCAAATCTCCCCAAATGGTTCACTCTCAGCTCTTTCTACAGTCAGGAGATCTTATGTTGGCATCGCCAAGGGAGAAACGTGGCCCTTGCTTTCCTAGGATACTTTGGAAATAATGAAAAGTAAGGGACAGTATGGATGACTAGATGTCTCCCAAGATACGACACCATTCTCTGTAGAGATGAATTTCCTAAAGGAGACCTTATTTCTGAAATTCCTAATGTTCAATGTTACACTATTGCCATATGGGTAATAATAGCAATAGTAACGACAATGGTGACAAGTTGCCAGTCATAGTGACTATGGCAGCCAGCCTCACTGACACTGCTGGGGGCCGGGTGCTGGCGTGAGTGCCTTCCATAGATTATCTCATTGAATCCTCACAAAAACTCCAGGAAACAAGACAGATACTTTCTATTTTACAGGTGTGGAAACAGAAGCTTAGAGCATTTGATCACACACAGCTAATAGAAATAGAAATGTCTGTCCTCCAGCCCAGGCATTCGGACTCCAGATCCTGTACTCTTGGCAGCTACAAGTGTTGTTTCATCTGGAAACTTTTCATTCCCATTTACGGGAGGTTTTCTGCATCAGAAAGTTAAGGGCAGTGGCAAAGTCTTTGTGATTTTTAACAGGCAGACTGTAGACTTCCAAGATGTCACTCTGCAGAAAGTGGTGACTTTGGTCCACTCTGTCCTTTTAACTTTTCTTAGCTTCTCCAAGCTCTCCATGAACTTCTGGGTGGGAGAGTGCAGGACAAAGGCCTGATGACAGTGCTGGTTTCATCTTGTGGACCCACACCCCTGGGGACCACAGAGTTAGTGCCAAGGTCGGGAATGCCTGGGGGTGGGGCAAGGACTGTCTGGGAATCAATGCAAATATTCCTCACATAGTTGTTCCACCATGATTCTATGCTTTAAATGTACGAAGATGTTGGGTGGCGCCTGTGGCTCAAAGGAGTAGGGTGCCAGCCCCATATGCCAGAGGTGGTGGGTTCAAACCCAGCCTGGCTGAAAAAAAAAATGTATGTAGATGTTTTGTGTGAGTATTAAAATAGAAATTCCTTCAGAAGTTATAATGAGTTAAGTGTAACTTTTGTCATATAGTGTATCGTTGTTAACCAACAAATACTAAAAGTACAACCACTATCAGTTGAAGTCCATTATTCCACCCCTCCATCCTCCCCCCACAACTTGTTTTAACAAAAAAAGTTATTATTCTCCTGGGCTGATTAAAACAGTCACGTACCAGTGGAGGGGGAAGTCTCCAATGAAGAGACATTTTTTTCACATGTCCTGATCCTCCCCCACATTTGGTATGTGACTGTTTTAAAGAACCTTGAAAGTGATCTAAGGAAAACCTGAACCTGGCTTCCTTTCTTGAGTTATGCTGCCATCTGCTGGTCTTAATCTATAAAGCACCTTACCTTTGAAAACCTGGATGGAGCCTCTTTGGCAAGCCTCCACCGATAAACTGAGGATTTTTAGCTTCCCTGGCCATTTCTCTCATCTGTACCAGTACTCCCCCCTCTAACTTTATCCACACTTGGATGATTTAAAATTTAGATTAAATTTTCTTTTGTTTTTGTTTAGCAGGCCCGAGCTGGGTTCAAACCAGCAGCCCTGATGCATGTGGCTGGCGCCCTAACCACTGAACACAGGCGCCCAGCCATGAATTATTTTATTGGTAATCACAAATTTGGGAAAAACGACTTTCGTGTATACAGGGCTTCAGACTTTACCTTAAACCTAAACCTCACCCTACTGTAAAAGAAATCCCAGTCCCTTTGGCTCCAAGAAGCAACCAAAGTGCACAGCCCCGTTTTGCCGGCTCCCAGAGCACGTCCTGCCTGCAGCCTTCTTGTGTGTTTTATGGGGTCTGGGGGCTCCAAGTACTCATGCAGCTTTTGCTTTAGAACTTCTGAGTTTTTGAAAAGTATAGGAAAGGCAAACAGTAAGTTTATATTTTGAACCAAAGTGTCAGGCCATATTACTAATTAAAAACAGGATAGGGTTTCATCTCAAAGTTACTTATTAACTAATTAGTTAATGTACTCTCTTCTCCTGGGAAAAAATTTCTTCCTGGCAGGGCTTTCATCTGTGAGGAATGGGATGGGGGAGGGACATTATCTGACTTAAATCTCTTACGCATCGGGGAAATGCACCCGATTTTTGTCTCTGATAGGTCGTGACTCAGGAAGTAATGTCCTCATCCCGGGGTTTCCTCACAGCTGAAAGGGAAGTTGGCTGTGGGTCTACTCAGGGTTGGAAACTCCCATGGGAACAAGTAACTGTTCACACAGATGATTTGCCAGTAAGAATAGGCGGAAACTCTTGAGTTCTTCTTATTGGTCAGAGGTGAATAGCTCCAAATGAGAATTAAGTTCACAAGATTTAGCTCTAAGATGAGGTAGGTAGTATAGCAGGGGACAGGGGCAGGGGCAGCAGAGAGACTGGCAGCCCCCACAACTAGAAAAGAGAAGCTTAGTTGCACGCATCACAGTTTCAGCACACTGTGGGGATGTAAGTAAGAGTTTTCTTCATTGCTAGTGGGACTAAGTTTCGGTACAACAAAGACACCTATGGTGGGCAGTGTGAATGCACCTTCTGCCAGGTCTGGGTTCCAGCCTTGACTGTGTCAGTAACTAGCTTAACCATCCTGGGCAAATCTCTGACCTAAGTCTGGGATTCCACTCTGAAAGCTGTAATATTGGCATATAATGTATATCATTATACATTCAGAGGTAGCAGTGTGTCTCCGTTAAACACCGTAGCTCACGATATAGGTCCTGCACAGCTCTGTGGAGCATCTGCCTGGATATTTTGTACTTTACTTGGGATCACTTTTCTCTTGTCAGACATTTGCACATGTTATAGCCAATAAACAGGAATCCTATTGATTTGGGGAAGTTTATTTTGTATCCAGCTGAGCTCTTTGATTGGTTCTAACAGTTTTCCTCATTATTGCTATATAATACTGTCATCTGCAAATAACAATTTCTTTGTCTCCTTTAGTCTCCTTTTTCCCATTGTGAAATATTTGAAATATGTAGAGATTAGAGAATAATACAAACAACCTTACTTAGAGCACCTGGCTTTATAACATTATAAACTATGGTCCGTTTACTTCAGGTTTTAAAATAGATTAAGCATGATTCGTTGTGTTTGTTACAATTCTTGACACTGTTCATTCTTCTTCCACCGTTGGAAACCATGACCACCATTGTCATAAGTTTGCAGCTTTCTGTTCATGCATATTTTTATACATTTTGCATTTAGTCACATATCTAGGAACCTTGCTTTTAGATGCTTTTGCCTATTTTAAATTTTATTTTATTTTGAGATAGAGTGTCACTATGTTGCCCTTAGTAGAGTGCCATGGTGTCACAGCTCACAGAAACTTCAAACTCTTGGGCTTAAGACTTCAGGGGTCCTCAAACTTTTTAAACAGGGGGCCAGTTCACTGTCCCTCAGACCGTTGGAGGGCTGGACTGCAGGCCCCGGGACAAGTCAGCTGCTAAGCAGGACAGGCAGCGGTGGCAAAAACACCCAGCAGGCCAGATAAACGTTCTAGGAGGGCTGCATGTGGCCAGTGGGCTGTAGTTTGAGGACACCTGGCTTAAGTGATTCTCTTGCCTCAGCCTCCCAACTAGCTGGGACTACAGGCACCCACCACAATGCCTGGCTATTTTTTTTGTTGTTGTACTTGTCATTGTTGTTTAGTAGGCCCTGGGTGCCTTTGAACCTGCCAGCCCCAGTATATGTGGCTGGTGCCCTAACCACTGAGCTACGGGCGCAGAACCTGTTTCAAATTTTAAATAAACACATACTATATTATATATACAAGTATATAATTATTATACTATACAGTATGGACCTTGTTTTTTGTGTAAAATTAGGGTTTGGAGAATTCTCTGTTAGAATTCACAGCTACATATAAAAAATTTAATATATATGTATGTATAAATATAAATATAACATATATAGGGCAGCGCCTCTGGCTCAAGGAATAGGGCTCCGGCCCCATATACCAAAGGTGGCGAGTTCAAACCTGGTCCTGGCCAAAAACTGCAAAAAAAAAAAAGTATGTGTATATATATATATATATATACATACATATATATATAATTGTATTAAATTTAATTTCATTTAGGTTAATTCACAGCTAAATAACTCAATTTCATGTAATTTAAATTTTATTATATTCATATTTCATAATATAGTCATCTGTTCTCTTCTTGATGAGAATGTAAGTAATTGGCAATTTTTTTTTTTTTTTTGCTGTTATAAATTAATGCTGCACCAAGTGTTCCTGGGGAAGAGCTTTTCTAGCCTGTATGCCTGGAAGTGGGATTGCTGTGTGAAGGGTGTGAGCAGTATTCTCCAAAGGGGTTGCACTAATTTGCACTCCCATTAGTAGTATATGATCTGTGTTAGGCTTATACCAGAACACAAGGGCCCCCTGTGAAGTAATTTTATGCCGTGCCTCTATAATGATAATGATCACACTAAATAGCTCTCTAATTAGACTGAGTTTCTTGCCGGTGACACCGTAAAAACTAAAACATGTTTAATGTGACTTTGGTATAGCTTAGATCACTTAGTGGATGAAGCATTTGGCCTGAGAGTAACGAAAATAAGGTGTTTGCAATACGAATTCCATCACAGAGCCTGGCTGACCGATGGCTTCTGTTCCCTTAAAGCAGAAGTTTCCCAAGATACTTGTGCTTACCTTTTCTTTAGCCTTTGAACTATCTTGAATGAAGCATCGTGGACTGCTTCAGTATACGAGTTAGACTGGAGGAGGTGATTTATATAAAGACTCTTAAAATACATATTGGCCCCATCTCCTTTTATCTCTTCTCTTATAACTTTGGCTTTTTATAACTCACTTGGAGATGCGTTTTTAAGGCCTGCCTGCGTCAGACCTAGCTATGATTTATGGCTCTGCTTTCTCACCCACCCTTGGAAGAATATTAAAATATCACTGAAGGCCACATCACCAGCCCATTACTGTATTAAAGAGAAGAGTATATTAATAGAGACTGTCTCCAGGAATAGCTCTCTCGGGTAAACACATCTAGCATACAAATTTTAAAATCAGAGGCATCGTCTTGTAACTAAAAGCTTGCCAATTATATTTCTATGGAAACCCAGAAAGTTTAATGATAGCTTCTGAAGGCTCCTATTTAAAAGTCTGGAACATATTTGACCCTGAGAAAAATTCTTCAAAATAATTTGGTTTTCTAGACCAGTGTTCTCAAATTTTTGTCGGTATAATAATCTGGTCTCTGCCGCTGTGGTTATGGTTCGAGAGGTGTAGGTTGGAATTTAGGCAACTGTGCATTTAATAATAACTTCCTATTTTATGCTGATGTGAGTGGTCTGAGGACCTCTTTTTGACAAACGCTTGCTTGGGACTTTTGTTTAGGGGGAGGTATTTGTGCAGAAGGTAATGATAGGTGGTTCAGAACAGAAGGTAGCACAGAGGGCGAAAGGCACCGGTCATCATCTGTGGTCGTGGAATGAATTATTTGGTGGCTTTGAAGGGAAACAATGGCCCTCAGCCCCTGTGCTGTCCCTGCCACTGTGATCTCCACTGTCTAATACTTGTCTGTTTGTTCTTTTTTTCTTCAATTACACTGAAGGGTAGGGACTGTGTCTTTCCCCTCTGTGTTCACATCACCTCGTACCAGTACCTAGTACCAGGCTCAGTGTCTGAATGAGTCTGTGACTGAAGGAATAGACACATGAGGGAATAAATGGATGGTGGGGTTGTGATTATTCACAAATGAAATGACATAGCCAAAGGCTTCCCACCTAAACGGTTGACCAAGCTTAGTTAGCCAATGGAGGATGAGGTTACTGTATGTGGGATATATTTTTAAATGCAATATTGTTCTTTCCCATTAAGTTTATGGAGGAGTTGGAGCAAGTAGTGCCGTGGCTCCCAAATGTGACTGTGTCTCATAACCATCCGGGTGCTTTGTCCCCTTACTAACTTTTGCTTTAATGAAAAAGGAATACGTGGAAAGTGAAGATTGTTCGTCTCCTTCCCAAGTCCATTGCACCTTCTCAAGACCAATCACTTCTTCCAGTTTCTGGCATAACCTCTCCAGATGTATTTGGAAGCCTATGTTTCCATACCCTTTCTTACACGGGTGGTCACATGCTATAAACTCCATACTGCATCTTGATTTTTTCCCACATTACAATATATCTTAATGATTGTGCCATACTAGTGCATAGAGATCTACTTCATTGACTGTAGTAGTCACATGGTATTCCATAAATATGTCTGTTTATTATATATGCATGCATGCAGTAATCCATTGTTGTTATAATCAACATTGTGATGAATGTCATTGAGTGTATCTCTTTGAATTCATGAGCAAGCATAAGGACGGATGAATTCCTACAAGTGGTTTTCCTAGGTCAAAGGGAATGTGCATTTTAAATGCTGCAAAATTACTCCCCAAGAGGGTGCAGTGACTATATTCTACCAATGGTGTGAATGAAGTGCCTATTTCCCTTCATATTGGTTGGTGCAGTTTTAAAAATCAAGATTGTTAGACTGTCACAAATCCATTGCGTGTGAGCCCTCTAGGACCAGCTCAGGATCCTGCCTGTTTTTAAAGCTCTCCAGGGAGTGAGATATTATTTCCATCTCACACTGTTCCACATTTCTGCAGTTCTGATGCACAGGGTCCATCCCACTGACCCGTGTTTGGAAACCTGAGGTTTTTGCAGACAGCCCCATATGTACCTGGGAGAAGCCCACCCCCACTGAAAGCATGAAAAGCTAAGAACTAGGGAACTAGTCCGGGCTGAAAATCATGTCTCAGCACCTTCTGGCTTCCACTTCTCCCTTTTCTGCCTTCCTGTGTTTTCTACTTTGGTTTCAAAACTCTTTTTTTCCTCGATGCATCACTCAGGAGCTAATGTCTTTTCCATAGGTTCACAAAGATGTACTTTAAACATGTGCTTTTTGAGGACACCTTCTTTGACGAGTGCTATTTTGAAGATGTTACATCTACTGATACCTATTTCAAAAACTGCACCATCGAATCGACCATCTTTTATAACACAGGTAAGAATAGTGGCTACAGACTGTGGACTGGGTAGATGGTTACGAGGGTGAGCTGGTGTTGTCTAAGAGTCCAAATGCTCATTCATAAGCTTCAAGAGTAGGAACATATTCATAGACACAAGTGCCAAGCCTTGGAGGGGAAATGGGTTTAAGCCCTAGGTGTGGCATGAATTAAGTGCACAGCTTTTACCAAGGCTTTTAATAGAATAGAAAACTGTGTTTCAGGCTCAGTGCCTGTAGCTTAAGTGGCTAAGGCGCCAGCCACATACACCTAAGGTGGCGGGTTCGAATCCCCAGCCCGGGCCTGCCAAACAACAATGATGGACTCAACCAAAAAATGGCCAGGCATTGTGGCGGGTGCCTATAGTCCCAGCTACTTGGGAGGCGGAGGCAGGAGACTCGCTTGAGCCCAGGAGTTGGAGGTTGCTGTGAGCTGTGATGCCATGGCACTCTACCCAGGGGGATAGCTTGAAGCTCCGTCTCAAAAAAAAAGAAAACTGTGTTTCAGTTTTATCACATCCAAAATGGAAAGAAAACCTCCAGCCAAATGAGACTGGTGCTGTCCATGAAGTGTCTTTGGTAGGGACAAAGTAGGACACAAAACCCAACATTCTAGGAAGGCTACATTTTATGCATGGACTTTGCATGATTTGCAAACCTCGAGACTCATGCTCTTCCAATAATAAATGAAAAGAGAAAGTTACATCTGTTCACATTTTATGCATAAAGCCAGATGCCAATATTCAAATCATGTTTTGAAATCATTTTTTAGGTAAGGTCCCCCCAAATACCCTCAGTTAGATGTAAGCATTCCACTTTGTGTATCAAAATTAGCACACTGTACCCCATAAATGCATCAATGTACAGTTATGATTTAATAAAGAATAGAAAAATAAAATCATATTTGAAATCATACTGTTTTGGATTGCCATGATTAAAATAAAATCTCAAAATTCCATTACTTCACCATTCTTTGTTACTTTTCCTACTCTCATCATAAGTTAATAATATACCAAGCGCATTTGGGATTTAAGGAAACTAACTGAGCTTTCTCACGGGCTTTACCTAAATTGTCTTAGCTGGGAATGTACTATCATCACGCCCGTCGTACAGCAAATGAAGAATTTAGTGACTTGCTCAAGGCCACAAGCACATTGGGGAAGTCTGGATTCCTTCCTCAGTCGTTAGGCTCTGAAGTTGTGCTCTTCCCACTGAACTACTTGGGTTATGTCCAGATCTGTGCTTTATTCCTGGCATCAGCATGAAGAGGTAGTTTATCCAAGAATATCCTTTTCCTCCCAGATAATAGCCTCAAAAGCTTCAGTATCTGGTCTCTAAATCTCCCTCCAGTCTCTTAATAATTTACTATGAGACTAACCTTCCTGAATTTAGAAGAGCAATAATAAGTTTCAGAAATTTACTATTTTTCATAGCCTATCAAGGGACAGGGGGGAGCGGGAAGGGGGGAGGACATTTGGCAGGAGGAGGGAAGGTATTTGTGGGATCTCACCCAGTGTACCCAGTGCGAAGGTGTTCAGCACGCCCCCTGGGTGAAGGGCCCTTCTACAATTTGAACTTTACCTGGGAATTGAGAAGTATGTAACCTAAAAATTGGTACCCTCATATTAATTTGAAAACAAATTTAAAAATAAAAGAAATTTACTATGTTTTAATTAAAAACAGGTATATTCTTTTATTCTCTCTCTCTCTCTCTTTTTTTTTTTTTTTTTTTATGGCTAGGGCTGGGTTTGAACCTACCACCTCTGGCATATGGGGCAGGCGCCCTACTCCTTGAGCCACAGGCACCACCTATTCTTTCTAGTTTTAATGATGCCTTTTCATTTGCATATTTTTAATATGGGTATCTTTGCAAACATATGCAGTCGGGAGATGGCAGAATTGGGAGCAGCAATGGAAACCATCAGGTGCAGTGTCTAATTTGACAGGTAGAGGTTTAGGGAGGTCAAAGAGGTTCAGTGGCAGTGCCAGCTCCCCAAGTTAGGACAGTTGGTCTCAGAAGGTGTTAGAGGACTTACAGACTGGCTCTAAAACAATTTTTTTAATTAAATCATAGCTGTGTACATTAATGCAATTGTGGGGTACAATGTGCTGGGTTTACATAAAATTTGAAATACTTTCATGAAACTGGTTAAAATAGCCCTCACTGCATTTTCTTGGTTATTGTGTTAAGACATTTATATTCTACACTTAGTAGATTTAACATGTACACACTTATAAAGTGCATCATAGGAGTGGTCCCACCAATTACCCTCCCTCCACCAATCCACCCCCCTCCCCTCCCCTCCCCCTCCTCTTTCCCCTTCATCTTGGACTGTAGTTGGGTTATAGCTTTCATATGGAAGTGTGGGTGTTCACAAATTGATTTCGTAGTAGGGCTGAGTACATTGGATACTTTTTCTTCCATTCTTGAGATACTTTGCTAAGAAGAATATGTTCCAGCTCCATCCATGTAAACATAAAAGAGGTAAAGTTTCCATCTTTTTAAAAGGCTGTGTAATATTCCATGGTGTACGTATACCACAATTTATTAATCCATTCATGGGTCAGTGGGCACCTAGGCTTCTTCCATGACTTAGCAATTATGAATTGAGCTGCAATAAACATTCTGGTACAAATATCTTTGTTATAAAGTGATTTTCAGTCTTCTGGATATATACCTAGTAGAGGAATTGTAGGATCGAATGGCAGGTTTATTTTTAGATCTCTAAGTGTTCTCCAAACATCTTTCCAAAAAGAACGTATTAGTTTGCATTCCCACCAGCCATGTAGAAGTGTTCCCTTTTCTCCACATCCACACCAACATCTCTGGTTTGGGGATTTTGTGATCTGGGCTAATCTTACTGGAGTTAGATGATATCTCAAGGTAGTTTTGATTTGCATTTCTCTAATGATTAAAGATGATGAGCATTTTTTCATGTGTCTGTAGGCCATGCACCTGTCTTCTTCAGAGAAGTTTCTCTTCAAGTCCCTTGCCCACCCTGAGATGGGATCACTTGTTCTTTTCTTGCTAATACATTTGAGTTCTTTGTAGATTCTGGTTATTAAACCTTTGTCAGAGACATAACCTGCAAATATCTTCTCCCATTCTGAGGGCTGTCTGCTTGCTTTACTTACTGTGTTCTTGGCTGTGCAGAAGCTTTTTAGTTTGATCGGAGCCCAGTAATGTATTTTTGGTGTTGCTTCAATTGCCCAAGGGGATCCTCCTCATAAAATATTCTCCTAGGCCGATTTCTTCAAGTGTTTTCCCTGCACTTCCTTCTAGTATTTTTATAGTTTCATGTCTTAAGTTTAAATATTTAATCCAGTGAGAGTCAATCTTAGTTAATGGTGAGAGGTGTGGGTCCAGTTTCAGTCTTCTACAGATCAACAGCCAGCTCATGCAGCACCATTTGTTAAATAGGGAGTCTTTTCCCCACTGAATGTTTTTGATTGGCTTATCAAAGATCAAATGATGATAAGTTGCTGGGTTCATGTCTTGGTTCTCTATTCTGTTCCATACATCTACCTCCTTGTTTTTGTGCCAGTACCATGCTGTTTTGATCACTATTGATTTATAGTATAGTCTGAGGTCTGGTAGCATGATTTGTCCTAATTTGTTTTTATTTCTGAGTAATATCTTGGCTATTCAAGGTTTTTTCTGATTCCATATAAAATGAAGTATTTTTTTGAGGTCTTTAAAGTATGATAGTAGTGCTTTAATAGGGATTGCATTAAAATTGTATGTTGTTTTGGGTAGTATGGACATTTTCACAATTTTGATTCTTCCTAGCCATGAGCATGGTATATTTTTCCATTTGCTAACATCTTCAGCTATTTCTTTTCTTTTCTTAGAGTTTCATAGTTTGCTTTATAGAGATCTTTCTGTTCTTTGTTAGATACACTCCCAAATATTTAATCTTCTTTGGCACTATGGTAAAAGGAATAGAGTTCTTGACTGCTTTTTCAGCTTGACTATTATTGGTATATATATAAAGGCTACAGATTTGTGAGTATTGATTTTGTAACCTAAGACACTGCTATATTCCTTGATCACTTCTAAGAGTTTTGTAGTTGAATCCCTGGGGTTTTTCTAGATATACAATCATATCATCTGTGAAGAGTGAAAGTTTGATCTGTTCTGATCCTATATGTATACCCTTGATTACCTTTTCTTGCTTGATTGCAATGGCTAAGTCTTCCATTACAATGTTAAAAAGCAGTGGAGACAATGGGCAACCTTGCCTGGTTCCTGATCTGAGTGGAAATGATTTCAATTTAACTCCATTCAATACAATATTGTGTGGGAGTTCGCTGTAGATGGCCTCTTTCAGTTTAAGAAATGTCCCTTCTATACCAATTTTCTTAAGTGTCCTGATCATGAAAGGATGCTGGATATTAACAAAAGCTTTTTCTCCATCAATTGAGAGAATCATATGGTCTTTGTTTTTCATTTTGTTTATGTGATGAATTATATTTATGGATTTATGTATATTGAACCAGCCTTGAGACCCTGGAATAAAACCCACTTGATCATGGTGTAAAATTTATTTGATGTGTTGCTGGATTCTGTTTGTTAGGATCTTGTTGAATATTTTTGCATCAATGTTCATTAGTGATATTGGTCTATAATTTTCTTTTCTTGTTGGGTCTTTTCCTGGTTTGGGGATCAAGGTAATGTTTGCTTCATAGAATGTGTTGGGTAGTGTTCCTTCTTTTTCTATATTTTGGAAAAGGTTAAGTAATATACGTACTATTTCCTCTTTAAAGGTTTGGTAGAATTCTGATGTGAAGCCATCTGGTCCTGGGCTTTTCTTTTTAGGGAGATTTTGTATAGTTGATGCTATTTCAGAACTTGATATAGGCCTGTTCAACATTTCCACTTCATTCTGGCTAAGTCTAGGAAGGTGGCGTGGTTCTAAGTATTGGTCTATTTCCTTCAGATTTTCATATTTCTGAAAATAGAGTTTCTTGTAATATTCATTAAGGATTTTTTGAATTTTGGAGGAGTCTGTTGTTATTTTGTCTTTGTCATTTCTAATTGATGAAATTAGAGATTTTATTCTTTTTTTTATTTTTTCTTTCAACTTATTTTACTTTGAAGTTTTATTTTTTCTTTTTACTTCTTACTCCTGTAGTGTTCTCTTGCCCCCCATGTAGCTGGGATCACAAGGTCCAGCTGTCTTGTTGTTGTTGTTGTTGTAGAGATGGGGTCTCACTCTGGCTCGCTCTGCCTCAGGTGGGTCTTTAGCGGGTATCGAACCTCTGAGCACCTGCCTCGGTCTCCCGCAGCGCTGGGACAACAGGCGTGAGCCACCACGCCTGGCCAGAGATTTTATTCTTTTGTTCCTGGTTAGGTTAGCTAAAGGTTTATCTATTTATTGACCTTTTCAAAAAATCAACTTTTTGATTTATTGATCTGTTGTATAATCCTTTTGTTTTCAATTTCATTTAATTCTGCTCTAATTTTGGCTCAGCTCCAAACTATCAGCTTAATTGATAAACTTCTGTCCTTTACTTCTCCTTCTGGATGGGAGCTTCTGTGGAAAGCTCCAGTCAGCCATCTTGCCTCCTCTGTTGATGATGTTAAATGAGGACCTACTGGGTATGTTTAACTTAGGGACACAGCATGCATTTTATAATTCAACAGGTAAATCTTTTGGTGACAGTGAAGGATAAAAGAAACAGAGGTGGTGGCTGGGTCCTAGCACTGTCAGTCCCGTGATTATACTTGAGGAAACTGTTGTAGCCTGAAACCTCCCTGAACGCCCTAAGGGCCGCTACTCTGCTGTGGTCAACAAATGGTTTTGATTGTTTAAGCATGATAAGGTTTCTGCAAAGATGACAGTGTGGGCTTCAGAGCAGTCGGCTGAGTCTGGACCCAATTCACTTGTGCTCTGCTTCTCTGTGCTGGGTAACTTCAGAGGAGCGGCCCAGCTGCTATGGCCCTCAATGTCACCTGTTTGGTACAAACAGTACTTATATCCAGCTTTCAGAGATGGTGTATTTTATTTCATTTTTTTTTACTTAATTTTTATTAGATCATAACTGTATACATTCATAGGGTACGATATGATGATTTGATGTATAATGTAGAATGCTTAAATCAAACTAATTAACATAACCATCACCCCACTTACTTATTTTTGTGGTAAGACAAAAATATAACATACTCTTAGTTGTTTTGAAATGTACCCTTGCATTGTGTACATTAGGTTAGATCCCACCAAATACTCTCCCTCCACTTGCCCTCTCCCCTCCTCTTCCCTCTTCCTTCTCTCCCCCTTTTCTTTCTGAACTATCTTTATGTTTTATCATTTGTATAAATATGTAAGTGTTTATATATTGGTTTCATAATAGTATTGAGGACATTGGATACTTCCTCTCCCCCCACTTTTGAGATACTTTACTAAGAAGAGTATTTTCCAGCTCCATCCAGGTAAACATAAAAGATGTAAAGTCCCCCTCTTTTTTATAGCTGCATAGTATTCCATGACATACATATACCACAATTTGTTTATCCATTCATGGGTTGATGGGCATTGAGGCTGCTTACACGACTTGGCTATTGTGAATTGGGCTGCAATAAACATTCTGGTGCAAACCTTCAAAGAGGAACTAGTATCTACATTACATAACCTTTCCCAAAACATAGAAAAAGAAGGAATCTTCCCCAACACATTGTATGAAGCCAATATCATCTTAAACCCAAACCAGTAAAGGACCCAACAAAGAAAGAAAACTATAGACCAACATCATTAATGAATATTGATGCAAAAATATTCAATAAGATCCTGGCAAACAGAATTCAACAATACATCCAAAAAATTACACACCACAATCAAGTTGGTTTTATCCCAGAGTCACAAGGTTGGTTCAACATATGTAAATCTATAAATATAATATACCACATAAATAAAATAGAAAACAGAAATAGTGTATTTTAATACGCCTCTCAGTTAATGTCACTTTCATTACCCCTTGCTTATAGGAACTTCAACAGGTCATTCCATTTTGGGGAGTTTCTCTAATTATCCATACCCAGCCACACATCATCTTGACTGTGAGGCTGACTAGCAAAAGTTGGCACATGGAAAGGGGCGTCATTTCATCTCTGCCTCTGCTCTTCTTTCCCCTTCTGCTTATATGAACTAGAAGTTTCCTTCTCTCCCCAGACCTCTATGAGCATAAGTTCATCAACTGTCGGTTTATCAACTCCACCTTTCTGGAGCAGAAGGAGGGCTGCCACCTGGACGTGGAGCAGGACAATGACTTCCTGATTTACCTCGTCAGCTTCCTGGGCAGCCTGTCTGTCTTGCCTGGGAACATCATTTCTGCCCTTCTCATGGACAGAATCGGAAGGCTCAAAATGATCGGTGAGTTGTCAGTGGGTTCCAGTGGGCTGGGATAGTGCCTTTTATGTGTAAGAAAGTAGTAGAATTTTTCCTTTTATTAAAGAATTCTTGCATGGAAAAACAAATATGTAAGATTGAGCTTGCTTCTATGGAGCAAAAGATGCATTTATGTGGAACTCCTGGGCTGCCTGGAAATAGTCTGAGACCTTTGTTCAGGCAGTGGATTTTCCTCATTTCCTGACCAAGAAACTCTGTGACAGTCACTTATTCTATTAGCACCTCAGTAGGAGAATTAACTATATTCACATACATCTTCATAAGAGTATTGTCAGAAAAACATATAAAATTCTCTTTGATGATAGTTTGATGATTAGAGATGAATATATTACTTTTATTATTTAATAGTAATAACAGTTTAGGCTTTGGAAAGTTGGGCAGACCCATGTTAAAATCCTATCACTTAAAGGCTGTTTGACTTTGAACCTGTTCCTTTACTTCTCAGGGCCTGGGTTTCCTTCTTTATGAGAGGAGGAAACCTACAGCTAGCTGACAGGGTTCTGTGAGGACTGAATGTGAGCTATTCCAGACATCTTCTAATGCTTGGCATGTTGTAGGTTCTCCAAAATGGTAGCTATCATCTGGTATGCCTGGCTTCATTCATCCAGGGTCAGCAACAGTTTGTTACAGAAATATATGTCATCCGTGGTAAACAAGAAGGAAAATGCATGCATTTAGGGCCAGGGAAAATGTAAATTACAGTATGAGTCAGGGCCAGGCCTGGGGAGGTGGACAACATGTCAGTAAACACGGCATTAAGGGTCTGCCCTAGGGATGTGGTTGATTAGGAAAATTAATACCAAGCTTCCTAGCAGCAATGCAGAAGGGGAAACAAAACAAATCACATAATTATTTTGCTGGAGAAGAGAAAATTGATCAAGACCTCATGAGAAGGGAATCTTTTCCTGGTGTCTGGCTCATATTGAATATCAGTATTATAAATAGTAGCATGCATATTCAGAATGGTGAACGTAAGAAATGCCTGTAATTCCAGCTTTTTAATTTTGTGGTGCGGGTGGAGAGTCATCTTTTAGGGGTGACAGACTGAGCTCTCTGCTCCATCAGGGTAGTGCCCTGATTAGTCCTGATGACCTCCGAGGGAAGGAACAACGGTTTACCAATTTCTGTAACCCCCACCCTGCTGCAGGGCCTGCCATGGAGTTGACACTTAGTAAGATACTGAACTGACTTGAGCTGGTGAAGATGGCCTCTTTCTTAAGGGACCCTGAAGCTCCAAGCTTTTAGCAGAAGACCCTATAGGATGGCATTGTATAAAAATACTATAGCTGGGAGTTGGATGGCCTATTCTGCCAAGATTAGCTTTGCACAAACTCCTTTGCTTCTCTGGGTTTCCATTTCATAAATGTTAAAGCAATAAGAATATTTGCTCTGATGAGATAAGGGGTGTGAGAGCAGATGTGTGACATGGCTGCCATTTCCTTACCAGCATTCTGAGTCCCAGGGTCTAACAGTAGACTCTATGGTCAGGTCCTGAAGTGGCTGAGGAAGCTTGGGGGAAGAAAAGGTTTACAGCAGTGGGGTGGGCACACATGTAAATGAGTGTGGCCTTCTGCCCACAGCATGCCACACACTCCCGTACAACAGTAGGTTCTATGGTCAGGCCCTGAAGTGGCTGAGGAAGCTTGGGGGAAGAAAAGGTTTACAGCAGTGGGGTGGGCACACATGTAAATGAGTGTGGCCTTCTGCCCACAGCATGCCACACAGTCCCGTACAGAAGCAGAGGGAAGGGGCAGGTGGGGCAGCGAGAGCGTGGACATCCTTTTCCTCACCGTTGAAACCCTCCTGTCATGAATCCATCGCAGACCAAAAGTGACTTCTGTAGTGCTAAATAAAGGCATGCTCCCCAAGGAGCTCTAGTTAATTGATAAATTGTCAGTGCCTCTATTCTGTTTGGGTGCTAGATACAAGCTCATTGAGCTCATAGAGGGCCTTCTTTGCCTCTGTAGACAGTGGATCAACTACAGCACAGTGAACACGAGTGCTCACTAAGTGTCTAGTCTGCTGTAGGTTATGGGCTGTGGGTGGAATGCTTTGAGGCAGCCTTAACCCTGGCCCTTAGGCCAACCCAGCGCTGGAATCTGCTGGTGTGCCTTTGTCCTGCTTACTCTTCTAGACCTTTCCCTGGGTGGAAGTAGAACAGAACAGTAGAAGTTTTCCTGATGAGGCTGTCACGCAGTAATGTCCTTGTGCTTTAGGCACAAATGATCTATTGGAAAGAGACAGACATAAACTAGAAATTTCATTTCACTAACATGACAAAACACTCCTTATAAGTCAGTCTGTGATCCAGAGTTCTATAGATATTATATGTTGAACCCTCACAATAACCCTATGAGGTAGGTAGTATTTTTTTTAATCAACGTTTTCCAGGTGGGAAAAGTAGGGCAGCTTACAGATCCAACATTCTATCCTCTGTGTCTTTGGGTTCACCGGCTTTAGGTTCCCCACGCAAGTGAGATCGGGTGGGATTTGTCTTATTTGGCTTATTTCACTTCGCATAATGTCCTCCAGCTTCATCCACATTGTTACAAATAACAGAATTTCCTCCTTCTAAAAGTCTTTTTAAAGCATCGTGCATGTTTACCACCCTGCCTTTACCCATTCATCCCCTGGGTGGTTGGTGGACACTTAGGTTAATTCCATACCTTGGCTATTATGATAACGTTGCAAGGAATATGAGAATGTGGTTTTCTCTTTGACATCCTGATTTCAAACTGAGAATGGGTTTTTGTAACAGATATTGATGTACCTGAAGAGCCTATGACAATGTCTGGCACTTAATAGATCCTCAACAAATTACCCTCCATGCCCCTTCCCCAGTCACTCTGGGTTGGGCAGCACCTTAGAGCAGGGATTTCACAGTCCTTCCTGGAGGTGAAATCTGGTGCTCTGATCCATGCAGAGGGCTCTAAGCCCACAGCCAGGGTGCCACGTGAGGGTTCAACCAGTGCTGTTTCTGTTTGGAGGATAAACCTAGTACTTCAGGTAACCTGCTACTTCAGATGCACCTTTGGGGTGTCAGATGGGACAGAACTGTGGGAGCCAGGCTTCATGTTTCTTTATGTCCTTGGACTCCCTCTGCAGGTGGCTCCATGCTGATCTCAGCAGTCTGCTGCTTCTTCCTGTTTTTTGGCAACAGTGAGTCTGCCATGATCGGCTGGCAGTGCCTGTTCTGTGGGACCAGCATTGCGGCCTGGAACGCTCTGGATGTGATCACAGTGGAGCTGTATCCCACCAACCAGAGGTTAGTTCTTTCCCATGTTTCACCTTGGAACTTGTTTGGACATCTTTGGCCGTAAGTCTCCTGGCTCATTAAATCTTGCACCAAGCCCGGCCATCATGGTCTTCCTGGTGTTCCATGAGACATCTCTTAGGCAAGGGGCTGTTGCAGGCCTGGCAGTGGGCAGACTAGGCTTGATAGGGTCCAGTGGATGTCAAGAAGCAAAGGACAAGGGCAAGCTGCATCCAGGAGAGAAAAATAAGAGACATAAAGGCAGGCAAATATATTTCAAGATATGTATCATTTTGGATAATAAGATCCAGTCTTACAAAAATGTCAAATTTTATTTAGTTTTTCTCTAATTTAGAAAAGTCATTGAAAATTCAATGAGGTTTTCCCTCTGGGAATTTGAAGAAAGTTTATTTGGAAAAACATAAAAGAAAATATGTGAGACAATTCTAAAACAAACAAGAAGACTGGGCTGGTGATTATAAAGCTACAGTGTGATATGGTTATAGACAAAAATGTAAGAGGAGTTTTAAGTCCAACAGTATACCCATATTCTTAATAAACTTGTGGTATGAGAAAGAAACATTTTACTTCAGTTGGGGAGAGACAGTGTTGGGAATATTGCCTCTGTATATTACCTCGGGTCATGAAAGTGCAAATGGTTCATAGCAGTTATCACTGGGGTACTGAGTGAGGGATAATAATTAGGATTAGGTTTTGCCGTGGGTGAGAGAAACTCCAAATAACTGCAGCTTTATTTTATTTTCTTTCCTTCAAGAGAGTGGTAGGTAGGGCAGATTATTTCTGTTTTGTTATTCTTCTTTATCTGGATTCAGCCATGGTCCAAGGTGAGACCAGATGTGTTCCATGAAGCAGCTTATAAGAAAAAGAATGTCAGAGAACAGTGCAGAAAGTCCATTCATGACCTTCCTTAAGGAAGTTCCTCTGAATCCATCATTTGCATTTATATCCCGTTGGCCCAAACTGAGTCACATGGCCACACTCACAGCAAAGGAGTCTGGGAAATGGAGTCTTACATTTGGAGACATTGTATTTGAGGACATCTAGCAGTCTCTGCCACTAGAGGATTGAGAATGTTATTGGAAGAACACTTCCACTTTCTACCTTGTTTACGTCTTTGTTCTTTCAGGATTTTTACAATATGCATGCAGTACATGCAGTATTTGAAAAGAAAAAGAAAAAAAAGGTTGGACAAAGCACTCCAAAATGTTAATGGCAGTGATTGCCTTTTAAGGAAGAGGCTAGACATCCCTGCATCTTTATATTATTTTGTATCTCCAAACATGATTAAGATGAGAATATGTTATTTTTATATTTAGGAAAAAATTCCTTCCCACATCTGCTCCTACCCTACAGCCAGGAAAAGGAGGAAACCAGTCTCACTCATCTAAAGAGGTCCATTATTTCAGAATCATTAATTCTCATAATTTCAGAATTATTAATTTCCTCTTCTTTTACAGGGCAACAGCCTTTGGCATCCTCAATGGATTATGCAAATTTGGCGCCATCCTGGGAAACACCATCTTTGCTTCTTTTGTTGGGATAACCAAAGTGGTCCCCATCCTTCTGGCTGCTGCTTCTCTGGTGGGGGGTGGTCTGATTGCTCTTCGACTGCCAGAGACTCGAGAACAAGTCCTGATGTGAATAATCTATGGGCAAAGGAAAGGTTGAAAGCATCTTGTCCGGGACACGTAAACACATCTACGCCTCCTACCTATCTCTGTCCAGAGGACGCCTTGGACAGCACTGGAGGAGAAGTTGATTTTGTGACCCTTAGTTTAGGACCCACTTCAGCTGTCAATATGTTTGTAACTCAGGTGATTGATTTGGGGGGTGTCCTGAGCCACCCTTAGAATCACAGAGCGGAGTGTTTGGCTTTAGGCCTTCCTAGCCCAAGGCAGGGGGAGGACCCTTCTGTGAGTGCACACACTAGAAACAGGAAGTGTGCATTTCCCTAAGAGAAGGGAAAGGACTTATTCACATTTCAAAGAAATTTGAGAATGAGAAACACTCAAGTTCCTCTACAAAGCTCCTTGGAGCCCAATGACATAACAAATTGTCTTGGGTGGAAGTTTGAATCATTATAAGAGCAAAGCTTGAAGTACAGGACACATATATTTTTACATTTAAAAGTATCACCTATCATATTTTCCACTTGCATATTGGCCCAATAGCATTAAAAATACTCTGATATTGAAAACCAAATATTTGAGCAATACTTATAGTGATCTCTCTATCCCCTAAGTGTCCTAAGCTTTCCATAATGATTAGGTGATGAATTAAAGGATGATATTTATTTCTATTTTGCTCTATTCGATGTAACTTAATGGGATAGATGTTCTATAAACTAAGTTTGTATATAATTTTATTTGGGGTCGATTGCCGCAGATGGTTTCTGCAAATATTGCCAGAATTTTAGCCATATTTTGGGAGAATGTGGTGTTTGAGGTCCCAGGACGTTAGGCCTGATTAAATGAAATGCAAGCACAATTTCTTATAGCCATTTAACTTGCTGTCTGGAGGATGCACTTCACAAACTCATATTGTACAGTTCGTTTAATCCAGGCCAGTAATTACCACAGTTCATGATGGTGTATTTTACAATGCTAAGTTTGTGTGAGCGGAGTACACAGTCCCTTTTCTCTCTTACCCAGATCGCTTGTGAAATGCAAGCTCCCCATCTTCAGTACTGGCATTTAACTTTGCTGCTTACCCACAAACAACACCGAGAAGTGTTCAGTGGCCTCTGGCCCTGTCTTTGTAGGCAAGAATCAAACCACACAGGGGACTGAGGGAGGGGTGGGAAGTGTAGCCACAGTTCTTCCAAGTGTAAATACTTTCTGCTTGTTTTTAGTGGTAAAAATGCTATTTTCGTTATGATGGTCGGGTCCCATGAGAAATCTATGGTTTATATTCAGGGCTTTTGAAACAAAGGCCATTGGAGTGGGAGTTTGGGAGCACAGTGGATGTCAAATATGTTCTTCTTCAGTGCTCTAAGAGAACTCTTTTCTGAAATTCAGTTTGAAACATGAACCAGGGACCTGAGTGGGGTGAGTAGCCAGGACAAATTGTTCTGGCAAACATCAACAGTAGACTGAGGACTACACAGAAGAAAAACAACTTGTCCCCCAGAGCTATCTAGCAAGGGAAGGGACAGTGAGCTATGAATTCCTGCCACCGGACTTGAAGTTGCCTAGGCCCAATGAACATCAGTCTGCAAGAAGTAGTCCTTGGAGTTGACTTGCAACGCTCTCAATGGCTGTGAAGCGCCACACTTTCCCTAGCAGAGATCTCCAAACATTTAAAACAGAATAATGATGGCTGCATTAAGTGTTTTCTCAGTTTTGGAAAAATACTTATGTCTTGTGATCGCTTCAGACCATCTTTTGTAATTTTCTCAGTTATCAGGTGGGCAGGGGTAAATTTTATGCCATCTCTCCGCCATTGAATTAAGATCAGTTTTAATGGTTAAAATGTTTACTCTGTGTTTCTTGAATCTCACCTAGTCATTTAACTCTGATTTGACACCCTGATTCCACCCTCCAAAAATATATAATATATAAATATTCCACTGTGTATTAATGTTTCTCTCCGTGTTTTGTAGGAGTTACCTGACATAATATGTCCATAATAGGAGGCCTGATGTAATATAGTTGTAATATACTTTCCATATTCTTGTGATATGAAATACAGTGGCTAGGTTCATAAAAGAGCATCGTGTGTGTCTGAGATTATCACATCTCTTCTAACGTTCGTTATTCTTCAATAGGATAATATAACTCGATGAGAAGCTCCCACTTAAGGAATTTGCAAGACAGTTAGAGCCTGCATTTCTAGTTAAGATGGATCATGTAGATGTAAAATCTAATAATTTTTGAGTGCTGGGGTGGCTACAATAATTTAGGGGTTCATACTCTGTGGTTTCCAAGCTCTAACTTCTATGTTATTTTTATGGCTCCTTAAACCAACCACCTAACCAACCAAGGGAAATTCCCATCTCATCCATCACTTAGGCCTTGGTAAAGGTGCAGCCAAGCTTTTCCTGTAAAGAACTGTCTGGCACACGTACCTGGCCACTTCTTAAGTGCTGTCACTCCCGCTGAGATAAATGTGTCTTTAAAAATAGTCTCTGGGGCAGGTCACTGGGGGATAACGCACAGCATTTTTGGTCACTCACTTCTTTTTCACTTTATTTTCTACCCTGAGAAACTCCCAATGTCAGCCATAGAAAGTTAAAGGGAAGAGGCTGTCCTTGTTGAACAACTTTGTTGACAGTTCTTGATGGTGTATTTTACGATGCTAAGTTTGGGAGTTACGTAGTTGCTTTTCATAGTCTCAACTGTATTGTGTCATCTCCTGATGCTGATTTTTGACCTTATGTTTTATTAAAAATAATTAGTGAAACAGGTGTGCCTATTTGTGACATTCATAGCATATTAGCCTGAGGTCATCGTACCAAATAACCCCAAACCCAGGGTCCCTGGTACCTTGTGTTAGTTCATGAAAACTGATAATAAACATCACTGTCAGCAAACCTTGAAGCACTGGGGGTAGAGATTGTTTGAAGCACTAAGGTCTCTTTCGTATTCCTAAATTGCCTGAATCAGCTGGGAGAAACATTGAGTATCACTTCCTTCAACTTTTTGTACTGGGTATGGGGACCTTGAGAGTTTAGAGTGATGACCGAGGTTGCATGTAGTGCTGGATGTGGGTTACCAGGTCTACAGTGGTGCTCGCTGTGTAGTTCCAGCCTTGTCCGTGGTCACTGACATCCTAAGACAGAGCCCCCCACAGAGTCCCTGGGGAATGGGACAATGTGACAGACGCCTCCATCCCCTGGTCTGGTCATGGAATACTCAGTTGTTTTACCTAGAATGACTGGAAGGATCAGTATAAACAGGAAAAGATTAGTAATCACCCATCCATCGATCCATTCATTTAACAAATCCTCATGGAGCCCTTCCCATGGGTCAGTCTCTACGCTAAACCTAAGGACACAGGTGAAAAAAGTTGGTCACAGTTCCTGCCTCCTGCCCTGGTCCAGGGACAGCAAGTGGGCAAGATGGATATTAAATTAGCCATAAACACGAAGCACAATGACATTATAGTGAATTTTATTTTATTTTTATTTTATTTTTTTTGAGACGGAGCCTCAAGCTATCCCCCTGGGTAGAGTGCCATGGCATCACGCTCACAGCAACCTCCAACTCCTGGGCTCAAGCGAGTCTCCTGCCTCCGCCTCCCAAGTAGCTGGGACTATAGGCACCCGCCACAATGCCTGGCCATTTTTTGGTTGCAGCCATCATTGTTGTTTGGCGGGCCGGGGCTGGGGATTCGAACCCGCCACCTTAGGTGCATGTGGCTGGCGCCTTAGCCGCTTGAGCCACAGGCGCCAAGCCGTGAATTTTATTTTTATGGAAATCCCTCTTGTTTATTTGATTAGACAAAAATAAAATACACTGCATAGGAACAATTTTAAAGTCCAAAGAGACATCAACTTTGTCAGAAGGCTGTAGTAGCTGATACAGCATCTCCTTGATACCTTGCGAGAAGATTAACTGCTTTCCCCGTCAACTGTGGATTTCCCACTCATGTTGCTCCAGCCATTTCTCTTTTCCTGAAGGAGCCAATTTCTCATCTTTATGGACCAGGTAAGGAAAACACCCATTTGCTCGTTTTCTACAGATGTAATCAGTTTTTACTCCACCAATGTTACCAAAAGTTTTATCTGGAAGAAGGGATGGGGCAGGAAACCCAGGCAGGAAGATGCCCAGGTGCCTGGCAGAAGGTGTTTCTGCCTCCACATCTGACTTTTCTATGCGTCTGTGCTAACTGATGCAATATTTGGGATTCAGTGAGAATTAGGCTGGATGGGATATACACACAAATAAGCTGATTTATAAGAATTTATAATAAGTTAAAGGTTTATTTCTCTCTCCTATGAAGGGAATCTGGAGGAAGGAAAGGCAGGCTTGATCTGAGCCTTGTGGGCACACTTTAAACACCTTGATCTTTCATGCACAGTTTCCTTCACTGAGGCTGCCTCATGGGCTGAGATGGCTGTTGAAGCACCGGTCCTCACATCCACGGTTCAGGCAGGAGGCAGAAGGAAGGGCAAGGTGGAAAGGAGCTGCAAATCCCAGTCTCCCTGGAGACTGCTCTCCTGGAAGCTCCACCCAGCTGCTTCTACCGGGGAAGCAGTTATGTTTTATTAAAAATAAAATTATCGCTGACCTCCCTTTGTTTTGGAGAGGTGGAGATAGGTGGTATTTACCAGGAGCATTGCCACCCTTCCTCCAAATTGAGGGTCTTGGCAGTAAGGAAGAAAGTGAGAAAGGACAGGGAGATCAATTCTTAAAACTTTTTTTTGTCCCTCAGAATCACCCAAAGGATGTTAAAGCTTGAATTCCCGGGCCCCATCCCCAGAGGTGCTGATTCAGTAAAATTGGGCTGGCAGAGTTTGCATTTTTAACAAGCTCCCACATAATGTAGGTGGTGTCAGTCTTCCATATTTGAGTAGCACTGACACCCCGTCACTAGGTAGTGATTTGATTTGTTAGGGGAAGTTCTTTTACCCTGATAACTTCAAACCAGTCCGACTAGAAACTCACAAAAGCTCACAGACCATGAAAAATGATCACCAT